AGGATTTTGATCAGCCTTGATCCTGATGAAAAGCTTCAAGATCAGCAAGATTAAGTAGCTTGACCTGGGTCACATAGCCAGGAAGTGGCCAACTTGGATATGGAGATTTGAACTCGGGACTTTATAAGTCCAAAGTCTGTCACTTTCTCATCACAGCAGTGATGAGAGTAGCTGACAGCAACATCTCATGTTATTAGATCAAAAAGCAAGGTACAGGTCAGCCCTCAGAGGCTGGCCTCCTGCCACAGCCTCCAGGACCCACTCCCATATTTACGTGCCTGAGATGAGAAGTCGCCCTGTCCCTGTCTCTGGGAAGTCCTGCTCACATATGGTCATGGCCCTATTACTAAGTGGCTGACCCTGTGTCATTGAGCAGGGGCTGGCCCAGTGAGTAGAAGGGGCTTTGGGAACCAAGGAAACCATTTTTCATCCCTAAATATCTGCTTTATTGGAAATTCCACCAATACAAAATCACTCCTAAGCACTCATTTTCTCTCTCCAAAATATTCCTTAAAAAGGGATATTTTTTTTTTGAGTTGGAGACTCACTCTGTCGCCCAGACTGGAGTGCAGTGGCTACTTCCGGCCACCACAGCCTTGACCTGCTGGGCTCTGGCGATCCTTCCACCTCAGCCTTCCAAGTAGCTGGAACTACAGGTGAGCGCTACCACGCCTGGCTAATTTTTTTGATTTATTGTAGAGATGAGGTCTCACAAAGTTGCCCAGGCGGGTCTCGAACATGCGGGTTCAAGCAATCCACTCACCTCAGCCTCCCAAAGGTGCAGAATTACAGGCTGAGCCACCAAGCCCGGCTTAAAAAGGGATATTTTTAAGGGATATACAAACCCTTTAAAAGGTAAATACCTGAGACTTCTTTATTACCCAGCATCTTGGTGGAAGATGTTTGACCAAAGTCCACAGGGGCTTGAGTGGAGAGCCTGGTTGGTGACTTTTATTTTATTTTATTGTTGTAGAGACAGGGTCTTCCTATGTTGGCCAGTCTGGTCTCAAAATCCTGGGCTCAAGTGATCCTCCCACCTTGGCCTTCCAAAGTGCTGGGATACAGGCATGAGCCACTGTGCCTGGTCAGGAAGATGAGTTCTAGAAGGGAAATTCTCCTTAATCACATTAGCCTTTGCCTTGTGTTCAGCCCTATCTTTTTTTTTTTTTTTTTTTTTTTAGTCAGGATCTCACTTTGTCACCCAGGCTGGACTGCAGTGGCACCCTCACAGCTACTGCAGTCTCAACATTCTGGGGTCAGGTGATTCTTCTGCCATAGGCTTCCAAGTAGCTGGAACTGCAGGTAAGCGCCACCAAGCCAGGCTAATTTTTTTTATTTATTGTAGGAAGGAGGTCTCACCAAGTTGCCCAGGCTGGTCTCAAACCCTGGCAATCCTCTTTCCTCCACTTCCCAAAGTGCTGGGATTACAGGCATGAGCCACCGCGCCCTACTCAGCCCTGTCTTGACATTTCAATTTTTCTTTTAGTAAAATATAATAATGAGACACCAGGGAACGGGGGTCTAAGCCAGCCATGACTTAAAATCTGAAATGGATTCAAATGATTTGTTCTGCAGATCCATGAACCAGACTAACGTTTGGCATTCGTTTTTTATTAAACATTTGCTTTGAGAACAGTTTAGATTTAAAGAAAAGTTGTGAAGCTAACACAGAAGGTTTCCATAATGTCTGGTACATTTGTCACAACTAAGGAATCAAAATGGATACAGAATTCTTGGCCATGGCCCATGCTTTTTCCAGATCTCCCTGGTTGCCCCTAATGTCCTTTGCAGCTCCAGAATCCCATCCAGGACACTGCATTCCATTTAGCTGTCATGTCTGTTTAGGCTCCTCTAGACTGTGACAGTTCTTCAGACTCTCCTGGTTGGGGGTGACCTTGAGAAGTATAATAAGGTAATTATAGAATGCTTTGCAGTTTGGGTTTCTCTGATGTTTTTCTCATTGCTAGACAGGGGTTATGGGTTTTGGGGAGCACAGTTACAGGTAAAATGTTCTTTTCACCACCTCACATCAGGCATACATGATTTATCACCATGGACTTAATGTTTGTTTTATTTCTTTTATTTTCATTTCAATAACTTTAGGGGGTGCAAATGGTTTTTGTCTACATGGATTCATTGTATAGTGGAGAAGTTTGGCCTTAAGTGTACCTACTGCCCCCACTGCCCCCACCTGTGCACGTTGTACTTGATGGGTGATTTTTTTTCTTTTTATCCAGGCTGAAGGGCAGTGACACAATCACAGATCACTGCAGCCTGCAGCCTCAACACCACGGGCTCAGGCAATCTTTCCGCCTCAGCCTCCTGAATAGCTGAGACTACAGGCGCATACCACCATGTCTGGCTAATTTTTTTATTTTTATTTTTGTAGAAACAAGGTCTCATTACATTACCTAGACTGCTTTCAAATTCCTGGGCTCAAGCAATCCTCTTGTCTTGGCCTCCCAAAATGCTGGGATTACAGGCATAAACCACTGTGCCCAACAATAGATGATGTTTCAACTCTTCTGCCTTCCCACCCTCTCCCTTCTGCATCTTCAATGTCCATTATCTCTATGTCTTTGCAGGCCTTTAGTTTAGCTCCCAATAAATGAGACTATGCAGAATATTATTTATTTACGCATTTATTTTATTATGATAGTCATTCAATTATTTTTCTTTATTTCAATAGTTTTATTTCAATAGGATACAAATGGTTTTTGGTTACATGGACGCATTGTATAGTGGTGAAGAAGTCTGGGCTTTAAGAGTACTCACCACCCCCGCCTGCGCACACTGTACTTGGTAAGTGATTTTTTCATCCTTTGTCCACCCTCTCCCTTCTGAGTCTCCAATGTCCATTATACCACCAATGTCTTATATGCCTTTGCAATTCCTCACTTACAAGTGAGAACATGCAGTGTTTGGTTTTCTGTTCCTGCATTAGTTCACTTAGGATGATGTTCTTCAATTCCATCCAAGTTGCTGCAAAAAACATTATTTCATTCTTTTTAAAAAAATGACTGAATAGTATCCCAAAGTGTATATATACCCCCTTTTTATTATCCACTGATTAGTTGATGAGCATTGTGGTTGATTCCACATCTTTGCAATTGTGAATTGTGCTGTGATGAGCATGCCAGTGCAGGTGCCTTTTTAAATGTAATGACCTCTGATCCTTTCGTTAGATACCTAGTAGTGGGACTGCTGGATCAAGTGGTAGATCTACTTTTAGTTCTTTGAGAAATCTCCATACCAATCTCCATAGAGTTTGTACTAACGTACCCTCTCACCAACAGTGTATAAATGCAGCACATTTATTTGTAGAGAAAATCAGTCATGTGGCAAGCCAGTCCGAACCAGCCCTGGACTTGTACATTCACTAAAAATGATTAAACTGGCACAAAATCAGATTGCCAAACTATCTTGAAACAAACCAATGTTTTATTCTGTGCAAGCCCCCAGTTGTAAGGTTTATGCAAGCTCCTTTGCAGACAGCACTTGGAGCTCCTTAGAGGAAATGGCTGTCTTAAATATAGAACACAGTGAAGAAGCCACGTACGAAGCCTTGTGCTGAACTGAGATGGAGCAAGTGACAGTTCCTGCATGACACCAGCTGTAGCACCCGACCCATGTAACCTGCAGGTCCCAAACCCCGGAAGATATTAGCAAGGAACCAGCCATCCCATGATTGACCTCCCCCGAGTGCATAGCATTTCCAGCCTGCCGGGCTGAGCCCGTGCCACTCATTACCTTGTAGGGAAAGCGCGGGCTGACTCCCTTTCCTTGTGTGTTGCATAAGAACATCTCCATTTCAATGAGTTAGCCCTGATTAAATTTAGCTGTCAGCCTTTCAAGCTCTCAAAGCATCCAACTCAAAAAGGGAATACACACGCACGCAGGTTGTCTGTGGTCCTCCTACCTCCCAGGGCTCCTCTCCAAGCCTCTGGGCGAGGCCTGCGTCATTCGAAGCCCTCCCTCGCCCGCCTGCAGGTGCCAGGTTTGAATGGGTCCTCCCACCCTTGCAGGCCTGCTGGGGGGGGCGGTGGGAGCCCCCTCCCCTCTCCCCCTCACAGCTGCCACTTTTGCAGTGTTCTGATTGAAGCTGCCTCTTTCACTGTTTTGCCTCTCAGGTAAAATGCAGCCTGTGGCTTTGGGTTTTGATTTTCTTTTTCTTTTTGAAACATTGTGGGCTCTTTTTCCTCCTCTTCTTTTGGCAAGGGGTTCACTGAACACCTGAAGTTAAAAACTTAAAAAAAAAAAAAAGTTAAAAAAAAAGACTGGGACTGAAGGCTGCTGTCACACTGAGTATCTTTTTGTGGGCTCTCTGCTGCCTCCCAGGGGACAGCAGGCATGGGGGGGTCCCATCGCTCGAACCTCCTCCCTGGAGAGGGCCCATCTGGGGGTGGCACATACAGACCTCCTTCTGCAACCCTTTTAATTTGTTCTTTCAACAGTCCCTAGGGTCTCATTGATGCAAATTGAATGTTAGGGTTTTCATCTAAGAACAACAGAATGACCTAAAAACAGGCCCCAGGAATCCTCAAAGTGGGTTATTGCCATGGCAGACAGCACTGCCTTCCACACTGTCAGGATCCTGGGAAACCGTGTAAGATGGGGTTTTGTAACCAGGTTCACATACTCCAGGCTCGACTGATCATCAGGGTCGATCTTAGATGTTACCCAACCCCCAGCGACTTTGATCTTCTCTGTCCTGGTCAGTAAACCCAGCTGAATAAATAACGTTAGTCCAAGCAGCGCTTCCTGGACAAATGTTAAAAATTGATTATGGCCTATATTTTCTGGAAGCACAGGTGTTTCAGATCAATAGAACTAATCTCGTGGAAACAGCTAATACTAAGCCTTTCTATAAGACAAAGAGCTTTATGTTTGCAGGTTCAGATATGGGAGGAAAAAGGAATTTTCTTGGAGCTGAAAATATTTCCTTTAGAGCTAATGGGATTGTAAAAATTCAGTAGGGCTTATTGAACGCTTAAAAAAAGGAAGAAAAGAGAACCCACCAAAAGAAAAGTAATAAAACCTGAACTATCACCATCAGCTCATTACAACAGTTAACTTCCTGCCTATGAGTGTTTCAAAGATGACTCCCCCGAAAGCTTGAGATAAATACACGATTATGAAACAGACTAGGACTTCCGGCTCAGGGCCTTCTCGAGATGATCACCGACGTGCAGCTCGCCATCTTCACCAACACGCTGGGCGTGTCGCTCTTCCTGCTCGTCGTCCTCTACCACTACGTGGCCATCAACAACCCCAAGAAGCAGGAGTGAAGGCGGCATGGCCGGCAGGGCTCCAGGACGTAGTCTGAGGCAAGATGGAGGGCGAGGGGGCCCTCGTACTTCGCCTCGTTCCCTCCTGCCTGTCACCACATGCAAAACAACTGCACTTGGATTTTCCAAACAACTTTTATTTCCTCAAAGTCTTCCCTGACCCCATGGAACAAGAAGCTGCCCCTGAGTAGGGCCCAGCAGAGGGGCTGCTTGCTTTTTATTCCCTCCCCCCATATAAAAATATAGATATTAAAAAAAATGAAACAGACCGCCCAGGTTTGCTCTTATCAGAATAGACCTGGGTGGACTTGGAGACTCCTGCTAGAATGTGGCTAGTTTCCAGTCAACTCAGAAAGGTTTCTTAGGATGGAACAGACGGCCTCGTAATTGGGTTCACGAGTACAAGTTTGTCAAGTTTCCACTTTCCATGGCATGGATATATTTTCTACACAGACTCTCGAGAGATATTCCTTTGTAAACTTACAGCAAATGGCAAAAGACTGATGCTAGCCTTTCTCCACCTGGGAGCAGCAAGGCAGAGGCAAGTCTCATCCTGTGGGTGCAGGCGTATCGTATCGTGTGCGTATCGTATCGTGTGACTTTGCAGCAGATCCTTGATCCACCAGTGCCTCTGCTCTCTTCTGTCTAAATAGGAAGTTTAGCTACGGCCTAACTCTAGTAAATCTGTGCCCCCACTTAGAACCCAATTAAGAAAGATAATTCTGCCGGGCACGGTGGCTCACACCTGTAAATCCAGCACTTTGGGAGGTGGAGGCAAGAGGATTGCCTAAGCCCAGCGGTTCAAGACCAGCCTGGGCAACTTGGTAAGACCTTATCTCTACAATAAACCAAAAAATTAGCTGGGTGTCGTTCCAGCTACTTGGAAGGCTGAGGCGGAAGGATCGCCTGAGCCCAGCAGGTAGAGGCTGAGGTAGCTGTGAGCATGCCACTGCACTCCAGCCTGGGCAACAGAGTGAGACTCTGACTCAAAAAACAACAACAACAACAACAAAAAACCATAATTCAGCCAGATGGCCCTGGTTTCCAACACTGGTTCTACCACCATGTAGCCATGTGCTGTTGGGTAAAACAGTTAACCTTTTGGCGCTCAATGTCCTCATCTGTAAAAATGGTTATAATAACAACACCTACCTGGTAGGTGTTAGAAAAATGTTAGCTTTCATTAGTAGAGGCCACACTATTATAATGAAAGTTAAATATGTGGTTTCCATGCTGTTGTCACAAAATTAACCAGTTTTTACAGGGATGAATGAGTCAGGCAAAAGGGCACGCAAGGTCAAGAGTCTTGTAAATTCAGAAGTTGCTATTGTTAATATGGCACCACTATGCCTGGTTCTAGTATTACTGATGCAAGACAGTGGTTAAGTATGTTGTGTCCTCTCTGGATTACTTCAGTGACCATCTGTACTAAGGAGTGAATGCCACTGGAAGTTGGTGATTTTCCTGAATGATCTCTGAGTCAGGTCCCCCAAAAAAGGCTTAAAAAATAATAATTGTTTGTCAGGTGTGGTTGGCTCATGCCTGTAATTCCTGCACTTTGGGATGCCAGGGCGAGAGAATTGCCTGAGCCCAGGAGTTCGAAACCAACTTGGTCAACATGGTGAGACCTAGTCTCTACAGTGAATCAAAAAATTAGCTGAGCATAGTGGCACATGCCTGTAGAAAATAATAATTTTTGACAAATGATTGCAAATGTGTACTTTCTAGGAGTGTGTGTGTGTGTGTGTGTGTGTGTGTGTGTGTGTGTGTGTGTGTGTTGGAGGGAGCATTCTATTTCCCAATCAAAATGCTATGACTAGCCAGGCATAGTGTCTCACACCTATAATCCCAGTGCTTTGGAAGCCTGAGGCAGGAGGATAGCTTGAGGCCAGGAGTTTGAGACCAGCCTGCGCCACATAGCGAGACTCCATCTCTACACAAAAATGAAGAAAAAAAGCTAGGTGTGGTGGCACATGCCTGTAGTCCCAGCTTCTTGGGAGGCTAAGGCAGGAAGATCCCTTGAGCCCAGAGGTTTGAGGCTGTAGTAAGCTATGATTTTGCACCACAGCATTCCAGCCTAGGAGACAGAACGAGGCCCTGCCTAAAACAAGTAAATAAACATCAAATTCACAGTTAATCCCAATCAAACCCACAGATGCAGAAAGTACTTTGTGCTAGATGAAAAAGATGACAATGAGGGAGGTGGGAGGGGAGAAACGAGGGCTGTGGTGTTGACCAGGAAGGGGGAAGGAGTGCCTGGCTTCTGGTCACACTTAAGTTAACTGAGTACCCCTGGCAAGTCCTTGAAGTTTCGGCTTTCTCACCTGGAAAGTCAGGGTCATACCTGCTCATTCCTGCTCACAGCCCTGAGTCACAGCACATGCAGAAGGGACCCTGCAGTCGGAGAGCATTTCACAAGTATAGGGTGCTTGTGAGAAGCTCCCATGGGGAGAGAAGAAATGCTGAAGTCCATGGAGGTACAGACTTCCCCAGAACATTCTCCTTCTTTGAACTTATTTGAAACCCATGGTTTCCTGTTTCCTGGAGAGTGAGGACATTGGAAACGCTTGCCCATCCATGAGACTCAGGGCTCCCTGCCGACCAGCAGGTCTGAAATCATCATTCGTTTTGGCTCCCTCCATGGGAAGGGAAGCTCCTCGGAGCCAGGGCCTTGTCCACCTAGCTGACCAGCACCTGGTACAACATATAGGGCTCGGGATTTAAGATACTCAACGAATGTTTGTTGAATAAAAGAATACACAGATGGTAGCCAGGCTCGGTGGCTCAGCCTGTAATCCCGCGCCTCTGGGAGGCTGAGGTGAGTGGA